CCGCAGTGGTTTCTGGTTTCGTTTCTGGGTTTAATCCAGTGGGAGTGAACTTCCTTGCCAGGCGAAAGTGAATCTCAGCTACAGAGGAGACATCAGGGAAGAAGCTTGTGCTGTCTGCTGTGTAGAGAAGGTAACTGACAGTCCAGGCTGCATTTTGCTGTGTGTGCGTGTGCTTGTGAGTGTGTGTGTGTGTGTGTGTGTGTGTGTGTGTGTGTGTGTGTGTGTGTTGGGGGGGCAGGTCTGGACTTTGCTTTCCTGTTCTCTTAACGTTTTGCTTTTGTGAGTCTCCAAGTCTCCTCTCAGCAATGTGAGGCCCAGGAAGGCCCCATGTCACCCTTCAGGCCTCAGAGGAGGGGAGGGTCTTCTCCCCAGACCACAGCTCCCCTCAGAGGAAGTAACTGGCCTTTGATGAAAGTTTCTAGAGGAGATTCTTCTGTCTCCAAGGGAAGAGCCCTATTATTCGAGAGAAATTGTCTTTCTAGTAACTTCACTTGAATCCTCCTTTTTCATCTCAGCACTGTCTGTTGAAGGGAACGTTTGTTGTTATGCTTTATCCTTTATGGTTGGAGTGATAGCACAGCGGGTAGGGCGTTCACCTTACAAGCGGCCAAAATGGTCGACCCGAGTTCGATTCCACCGCCCAGGAAGAGAGCCTGGAGAGCTCGGAGAGCCCGGCAAGCTACCGAGGTATTCGATATGCCAGACACAGTAACAACAAAGTCTCCAATGGAGACGTTACTGGGCCCGCTCGAGCAAATCGATGATCAACGTGAGGGCCTTTACCTTTACCTTTACCTATCCTTTCTTTAATCCCCTCCCCTCCAACTCTCTCAGTGGGAATTGGAGCACATGCCAAGATCCAAAAGCATCTGAAACTCTGGGGGCAGGACATAGTCGAGCTCCTAACCCCGCTCCCCTGTCTCTGCGAGTGAGGTCCTACATGGTGAACTCTGAGGGACCAGCAGTCAGTGTAGCCCACAGACTAGTCCATCCCCTTTGCTCCACACCTCACTACATGCTGGAGCTGCCAACATTCTCTCTTCCGGTCACCCTGAAGTTCTGGAGGTGCCTGAGTCACCTTCTGATTCTCCATGAGCTCTGTTCACATCCGAACCACCTGTTCTCCTGGATGCTCTTTGAATTCTCATTCCCTCAGGTCAGGTAGGGTGACCTGAAAGGACACTCTGTCCCTCTGGCTGCCTTGATGACTGGTTTATCCTGGGGGAGCTCAGATGACCATCTCTGTCCTCTACATTAAGAACATCAAAAGGACATGACTGTTCCTGACATGTTGGTCACTAATCTGAGCTGAACCCTTGTGAGAGAGTAAGTGCAGACACTGACCAACCTCGTGAATCCTGCCCCAGGACTGACCAGAGAAGGTGGAAGGAAGAGTCACAATTGATTTATGGTGAGATACTTCTAGTGAGGAGATCAATGTAAAACTGAATTAGGATGTTGATTCAGTACTAAAAAAAAAACAAAAACAAAAAAGTTCATGTATTCACTCGTGCTTGCAACTATTATTATGAAACAATTACAAGTATTCATAATAGGTTCTGTTAACATGATTTTTGACACTTTTTATTAGAAATCACATATTGAAAAAATATGAGGGTATATTTTGTAAAGTACTTTTTCATGTCAAATATCTTTTTTATCTTGTTTGACTTGACGATGACAGGACCTGATCAAATGAGTTAAAGGGGAAGCAACATTGTAACTAAAAATGCCACACTATAACTAGAAAATTCCTCACCAAATAGAGAAAAGCAATCCTAGCAAAAAATAGAAATGGAATGCTTCATTTACCCAATTTCATACAGTTCAATAAAGCTGTAATAGTTAAAACAGTGTGGTGCTGTAATAAGAACAGACTCTCAGATCAATTTAATAGAAATTAGAATCCAGAGATATCATCAGGCATATGGAAAATTAATCTTCAGTTAATAAACAAAAAAATAAAAAGTGGAGGAAGGAATGTCTCTTCAACAAGTGGTGATGGAAAAACTAGTCAGTTACAGGCAAAATAATGACAATAAAAGTAATAATAAGTATACACTTTTCTAACATCATGCACAAAACTCAAATCAAAATGGATTAAAGACCTCTATATCCGACCAATGTCCATAAGATGTATTGAGAAATATAGGTAAAACTGTGTACTACTTTGAAGCTAGAGTTCATTTTAAGAATCCAATGCCAACAGTCAAGCAAACCGAAGGAAAGATAAACAAATGGGATTACTTCAAACTCAGAACTTCTGTACCTCAAAGGAAATGATGGCCAGAATAAAAAGATACTTCGTCCACGATCAGAGTGTCCACTGCCCTCCACATAGGTTCAGGGTTTCTCTCCCTTACACTAAGCCTCACAATTTCCATTAGAATGAAAGAGAAGAAAAACGGGTTCTGGAAGGACATTAAGGCTAAAGAGTCAGCTCTGTGACTTGGTCTGGCTTGCCGTCATGGAGACCAAGATGATAAGACTCCCATAGCTTCAGTTGGAATGGAAGGGTGGGAGCTTGCAGCTGTCTTGGTCAAGAGCAAGGTGGAAGGGTCTGAACAGTCCCCTTTGGGGTTTGTATGGTCCGTTGCCCAGTGCCCCATCTTGTCACACTCCTTTGTGGGATCCAAGACTTCTTGGGGCATTAAGGACACTAGCCCTTCTGGCAACCAAGTTTGCCACAATGGAAGCAGAAAGTTTTGAGTGGAGAGGACTTCCGGGCACTCCTGTGGAGCTGGCCTGGCTTTAGAGTGGTCAGGAGCTGGCAATACCTTTAGTCTTCTTTATTTTGATCTTTTGTCTCTCTTGTGACCCCTTTATGTCATCTCTGCTCCACCTGGTAGTAATAATGAGAGGAAATTGCTCTAACTAATTCTGAGACAATAAGTTGTCTGAATATTCTCGTATTTTTTTTCTCAATCTCTAGTTGGTTTATGAAAGAGGCAAGAACTCTGTGACAATGAGTGTAGTGGAGGATGAAAAATATTAGTCTAGTCTATAAGGTATCTCTGCCTCCTCCTTAGATCATTTACAAAAGAAATAGAATGATTGGATGGTGTTGTAATAAAATGGAACACCCCTTTGATCAAATCTCCTTATTCTTTAAATTATATTTGGGCTAATCCTTCTCACAGAGAAAAACAATACCAACTATCCCATCTCTCCCATCCCCAAATTTCTCTTTTATGCATTACTTAGAATGCTTTTATTCTCAAAAGAAATTCCACTAGAACTTGTTCAGGACAACAGACACAGTCTTTGTCATTAAAAAAAAAACTTGCAGGGGTGGCATGTGAGTTTGGCTAAGTTATCTTCATTCCAGAATATATTCTCTATGAGTCTAAAGAGATAGTTCTTATAGTTAGACAAAGATGCTTTAACATGTAACTTTAGTTTAAAAAGCAGCATTAGTGATCGCGATATCTCATCACTGTCAGGTCAGAGAAGCATTTATTTTCTACCTCATCCTGCCTCTATTCCCTCCTCACAAACACTCAACAGTGAGAATAGAGGAAAGAGCCTCCCAAAGCTGTAACCATCTATCTGGATGAAGGGCAGAGTCCTGTATTCCTTGTCATTCTCTGTGTTCCCATCTTGGGTACTCACTGGTGGACACCAGGAGACAAAATGCCAGGATCAACAGAGGCCTGTCGTCCCTGTCTGTTCTCACTGACCCGCTCCAGTTTTCTGTCACATTGATGGGTTCTAATTACTCTGTCCTTCTGGGAGACCAGGTTAGCCTGAAGAAGTAAGTGACAGTCACCTCTCTTGGTCTCCAGGAGCTCTGCTCTCAGGATAATCCCTTCTTCTCCTACCTCTTTCAATTCTCTGTCCTCAGGTCAAAGAGGCTAATGGCAAGGGCACACAGCTTCTTCAGTGTGTCAGTTGACTCACACAAAGGAGTGTGACAAGATGGGCCACTGGGCAACAGACCATACAAACCCCAAAGGGGTCTGTTCAGACCCTTCTACCTTGCTCTTGACCAAGACAGCTGCAAGCTCCCACCCTTCTATTCCAACTGAAGCTATGGGAGTCTGATTATCTTGGTCTCCATGACCAAGGTGTCTACTGTTCCTTTTCATCAGATCTGAGTGTTGGGGTAAAATCTTATTATCATTTGGGGCCTGGGTCTTTTTACCCATCCCTTTTATCATTATTTGCAGTGGAAGTAAGTAACAAGAACTGGGAATTAATGATCCAGTGCAGACATGATTTTTTCTTGAGGAATCCTGCAAACTCTACCTAATTGTAGCACCAGTTACAAAGAAATCAACTAGTAGTGATAGAGTACCTTTTCACAGAATGGGAGTCTTACCCTCCCTCCAGGAGTTTCTCTTCTTTGCTTCAACTTTTGCGAGGAAGCCTGTCCTTTTCTCACTATTCCTGAGCCCCATGTCCAAAATATTTCTAGAAATGAAATGAAATTTTGATCTCGTCTCATTTCACCACAGACTCTAGCAAATAATAAACAATTACAATGCAATAATGGGCTGGAGTGATAGCACAGTGGGTAAGGCGTTTGCCTTGCACACAGCCAACATGGCCGACCCGAGTTCAATTTTTCCGCCCCTCTCGGAGAGCCCGGCAAGCTGCCAAGAGTATCTTGCCCACACGGCAATGCCTGGCAAGCTACCGGTGATGTATTCGATATGCCAAACACAGTAACAATTAAGTCTCACAATGGAGATGTTACTGGGCCCGCTCGAGCAAATCGATGAACAACGGGAGAACCGTGAACTGTGAACCGTGAACAATGCAATAATAGCAGTTAGATTTTATTTCATTTTAATTATACTCAGTTTAAGGGACCAAGTGTGATTGTGCCACAGTTGTTTACAACACAGTTCCATAAAACGAATCTTCTCAATCCTAATCCATATCTCTCTCAGAGAGATTTCAAGCTCACAGGAGGCCCAGAAATTCTAGAGAAGTGCATTTCTCAGATACTAGAAATTTCTGACTGCTTCTTCTCTGCCTCTTGATCCAATTTCCAGAAAAACCATGGCCTCAGCTACATTTATCAAGAAGTTGAGGGAGGAAGCTACCTGCTCCATCTGCCTGGAGCTGATGACTGAGCCCGTAAGCATCAACTGTGGGCATAGCTACTGCCACCAATGCATGGTGGCTTTTACTGGGAACCGAAGCTCTGATACATCATCTCCAGGGATATTTCGCTGTCCCCAGTGTCGGAAACCTTTTCAAAGTGGTAGTCTCCGGCCCAACAAGCAACTGAGAGGTATGATCGAAACCTTTAAGGAAATGAATGAGAACATGTGTACTGAACATGGAGATCAGCTCCACCTGTTCTGTGAAGATGATGGTCAGCTCCTCTGCTGGTGCTGTGAGCGGTCACCACAGCACAAAGGACATGTCACTGCTTCTGTTCAAGATGCATGGCCAGGTTACTGGGTGAGTGTGGGGTCCAGAAAGCCTCCTAAAATCCTCATTTACTGGTCCTCTGAAACCTGTTTTATTTATTTGACAGAAATTATTTTCACTGTAGTATATGCTTCAAATGTCTTCTCTCACTTGCTGCAAAAGTGACTTGTCACAGTATCCTCAGTAAAATATGCTGAACTCCACTCTCTAACTCCTGAAGGCATTTTTTTTGGTGCCTGTTAACAATCTCTGTGTCTTTTGTATTGTAATCTGCATTTTAGTACCAGATAGATAGTGCAGAAAGAAAGCAGTGGCAGCCCATGAATGGCCTTTCTGGCTCCTGATCAGGTTGCTTAATGGCCATGATCCAAGATACTCAGGAACAAATCTTGAAACCCAGCAGGTTTTGGAAGAAATCCCTCCAGATTTAATTGTTTAAATTTCGGAATTTCAAAATCACTCAGCCACTACTTCAGCCACGCGGCATCATATGTTATTCATTACCAGCAATAGAACACAACTTGTCTACTGTTCCTTTTCATCAGATCTGAGTTTTGGGGTAAAATCCCAAATAATAATGGTGGGTCTGGTGTGAATATATTGAATGAAATTAAAGTAGAGGAAGAGTAATGTGGAAATCATCTGTCCCACATGTAGGGGCAGGGTGTAGGATGGGGGAATACTGGTGTTTTGGGGGATCAGAATGGGCACCGGTGAAGGCATGAGTGTTTCATTGTATGACCAAGACGTAAACCTGAAAGCTTTGTAACTTCTCTCAGTTATTCAATAAATACAATTATAAAAAATTTTTAAAAAGTAAGATGGAGTTCATGCCCAATTCAATCTGCAAATCAGTGGCTGAATAAATAGCAATACTCCTACATTAAAAAAAAAAAAAAGAATGGCATCATCCATCCTTACTCCAGTTCAAATTCCAGATTCGTCATATGGTTCCCCAAGCACCATCAGAAGTGATTCCTATGCACGAAACCAGGAGAAAGCTCTGAGCACTTTAGAGTGGTATCTGGAACAGTAGCAAAAGGGAGTAATCTGTATTCACTTGTCTTTTTCAATGTTGTTCTTGGGAATGGTACCTGGAGTATTCTATGATTTCTTTATAAATCTTGGTCATTAACATCTTGTTAGATATAGGAGTTATGATAGTTTCTCCTTGTATATAGGATGTCTTTTTGTTTCACTGACATTTACTTTGACCCTGGAGAAATTTCTTTTTTGATCCACATACTCCCAAGTAATTTTTGCTTGTTTTTGTTTCCCACGTGGGTTCCGGGGCCGAGATCTCTAAGCCTACTCAGATTGGAGTCGAGAATCCTCCACCCAGATCCTCCAAATTCCAGTAGGCGGGGGTCACACCCACCAACTGGCCCCCTGCCGCCGTGTAATCCCTTCAGCGGCCAAGACTCAGAGACTATAAAAACCAGCTCCCAGAGGGAGAACAGTGCAGTCTCCTGCCCCCGCGCCTGGCTATTCCTCGCCGGGGCCCCTTGGAGGGGAGCGGGTTGAGCTTTCCTCCCTGCCCTAACCAGGGCCCCGGCAGCCGAAGACCTCCAGGACCAGCTACCACCATGCTGAGACTACTCTCCTCACACCTGAAGAGGCAGAGGTACAAAGCCACGTGGGTTCTGGGGCCGAGATCTCCAAGCCTACTCGGATTGGAGTCGAGAATCCTCCACCCAGATCCTCCAAATTCCAGTAGGCGGGGGTCACACCCACCAACTGGCCCCCTGGCACCGTGTAATCCCATCAGCGGCCAAGACTCACAGACTATAAAACCAGCTCCCGGGAAACGTGCAGCCGCATTTGCGGCCGCGCGACATCTTACTATCACATCTCATTTCTACTTTGTCAAACTGGCAGGCTACCGAATGTAGCCTGCCCACACGGCAGAGTCTGGCAAACTCCCCGTGACGTACCCAATATGCCACATACCAGTAACAATGATGGGTCTCATTCTCCTAAAGAGCCTTGAATATAATCTCAGGGCTAGGATGAAGGAGACGTTACTGGGGCCTGCTCGAGGCAATCGACGAATAACAGGATGATCTGTGATATGTGATCTTTGTTTCCCTAGTTACTGGTATCAACTCTTCAAAGTTAATGCTGAAGCCGTGCTTGGAAATTTTTTTTGTACTTTCCTTCTCTTTTTCTGGGAAAGGAAAGAGAGGGGTTTGGCAGGGGAATACGATTTCACCAAAACTCTTCAGTGCCACCCTCGACAATGTCATGCGACAACTGGAATGGGAAGGAATGGAAGTGAAGATAAACGATCAGCAACTACACCACATCCACTTTGCTGATGACTTCATTCTAATAACACCAAATATTAGCCAAGCAGCACAAGTGCTGGCCGAATTCGACCGTGAGTGTGGAAAGGTCGAACTATAGCTGAATCTCACAAAGACAATGTTTATGAGAAATGGTCTCGTTCTTGATGTTCCATTCTCTCTCAACGGAATGAACATCTCTGAATGCAACAGTTATGAGTACCTAGGTTGAGAAGTCAACCTGACAAATGACCTGGCACCTGAGTTGAGCAGGAGGAAGAGAGTGGCTTGGAATGCCTTCAAGAGTGTTGAAGAAATAGCTAAGAGGACAAAGAACCTCTAGCTCTGGACATATCTCTTCAATTCCACTGTTCTTCCTGCATTAACATACTCCTCAGAGGCCTGGGTCCTACAAAAACAGAATGAGAATGCGATTTGGGTCTCCCTAAGAGGAATTGAAAGAGCTATGCTTAGAGTATCACGCTTCACTCAAATGAGAGAAAGAATCTGGAGTTCTGACCTCTGTCAACGGTCAAGAATCAGGGATGCTGTCTTGTTTGCCAACGTGTCAAAAATCAGATGGGCTGAGCATGTAATGAGATTTGGAGACAACCGCTGGACTAGAGCCATTACCAACTGGATTCGTGGGATGTCAAAAGATTCAAGGCGGCCCACCTACAAGATTGTCAGACTGATTCGTCAAAACTCTGAATGATCGGTTTGAGGCTCTTCATGTGCCTAGAACTAGCAGACACCATTGGGCTACAGTAGCACGTGACAGGGACAAACGAAGATTTTACTGGTACCCGCTCTAGGTAATCGATGAGTATCGGGATGTCATTGGATCAAGTGATCAAGTTTTCCTAGTTGAGAATATTTTCACTGGAGCCTTCAGGTCCCTTGGATCTCAGATCCTGTATTCCTCAACTCTGAGAAATTCTTATCAATGATTTCTTTACCTAATATTTATTCAGGAAATTTTGCTTTCCTATTCTTCAGTGACTATGGTGATTCATATATTGTTCTCTTGTACTCATCCTAGAGTTCCATGGTATACCGTTTATTTCCTTTTAGACTATTATCAACACTATATTGTTTACTAGCAGTTTCCTCATTTACTAGCAGTTTTCAGCTCCACCTAATATTGTAGCTTCTTGATCTTTTACTCAGCTACAGAAATTCGGCTGTTAGGACTTTCTGTTGAGGATTTTTTTTTATAATGTAACTTACTCTGTTCTTTATTCCTGCTATTACTGAATGGAGGAGTTTTCTCATTTTGACTCTTAGACTTTCTTGGGCTTTGCTGAATACCTGTGCCACATTTCTTTGAGCTCATTAAACATCTTTATCATGGTGGCACTGGCAAAAAGTCACTGAGGATTTAGAAAGCTGATTGTTGTTTGTGCCTTCAAGGATATTATTTTCAATCAGTGAAGTGAGAGGGTCTTTACCATTGGTTTTCTAGTGTTCTGGGGGAGTCTTTGTAGATAGATACCCTGGAAAGTGCTGAGGTATTAGGCTGGGGATTGCTCTCGTCTCTGCTTCTCATCAGTGAATGACTAGAATTATAATTAAGAGCAGTGTGTGATTTGCTGTGTATGTCTTTTGAGCAGCCGCATAGGTGGCATGTGCTCCAGAAGCTGGGTGTGAGCCTGCTAATATAGTCCAGGTCAGGTGTAGAGGCTATTGGGACCTAGCCGGAAAGGAGGGTTCTGCCTCCCTTCCCAGAGTGGGTCCAGCGATGTCAGCCTGAGTCTGGTCTCACCTGCAATGGTGTCAATGCAAACAAAGTTCAGGCATTGTCTCTAAGAACTTTTCTATCCTGGTTGTATTAAGCACTTTTTTCATAAAAGAATGTTGAATCTCATCATTTGGTTTTTTTGTCTCAATTGAAATATAGTTGTTTGAATCTTATCTTTCTGTTGCTATGATACAGTGTTTTTTCACTTTCATATGTGTAAAAGCAAATGAGTACATGACATATGATCCTAACAGTGTACTCTATTGAATTTCTTTGGCTAAGATATTGTTGAGTATTTTTAGGTTTGTGTTCACTACTGTTGGTTTATAATATTATCTTTAGGTTTTCTTCTTAACTGATTTTCATATTAGAGTACTGTTGCACTCAGAAATTGTGCATGAAAGTTCATCCTTTCCTGGACTTTATTGGTATAATTGCAAAGGGTATTCGGATATCTTTGAATTATTTATAGATCTCACTGGTGAAAGTTCTGGAAGTAGAATTTCCTTTGGAATGAGATTTTTGTTTCCATTTTTGGAGTGCATGCTAAAAGGACACCCTCCCAGTTACACTCAAGCTAATAGTATATACCTGGATCATTCTTACTGTCTCACCCTTGTTGGAAAATGATGAAGTTAGCAAACAGAAAATTGAAGACTGCCTGGTATCTATCCCTCACGTGGTGGAAAAGTCATTAAATGTTGGAGATAAGCTAGGGTGTCCTATACTCAGGACATTAGACAGGGACACAGAAAACAAAGCTTCCTTGGCACCATGCCTAGGCTAGAGGATGTGTGGAAAGAAATATAAATGAAGACACAGAGTAGAATTTAGGCCTTAAACCTTGATCACGGTTGAGAGAATGAATCTTACCTCAGAAGAGGACTGGGAACTGAATGTTTTCTATTGGTTAATAAGGACAAATTTTGACATGAGAATATTATTCTTCTCAAAATAAATTAGAGCCATCAGTTTCTGAAGTTCACATGACTTCCACAAGTATAGGGTAGGGACATAGTTAAAGATATAGCGGGGTTGTTAACTATTTAGAAATGAAAGTCTGTGAGTGAAGCCTAGTGAGAGATTTAGATTAACAAACATTCCAAGGTACATATGATAATTACTTTGACTGTGGTGGGAGAAAGAAGTGGGCATTGTTCTGCTACATCTTTCCTTAACCAATATGGAATCGAATAACAATTGATCCCTCAGACAATTTACTTAATCCCATCCAAAGAATTGATTTTTATAACACAGAAACAATGGTAAACATCTTACTAGCTTTGCAAATTTCCATGGAGATCAACTGTGTTATTGGACTGATAATTGTCTACATGCTATCTCTCAGCACGTAAGGGCTCACCAAATACTCAACGTTATTCTAATTATCCGAAAACCTATGATTTCTGTTAGATGTGGTGAAGAGTTATCCAACTGAATAAACTAACACCCATTTTTGCCCACAGGTAAAGCTCCTAAAAGCAATCAGCAAACTGAAAAGCACAAAAGCCGAATATTTGCAGCTGAAACTAGATACAACTCGGAAAATAAGAAGTTGGGAGGTGAGAGTTTGAAGCTTTTTGTGGTCGAACTATATGCCATCATCTTTTCTAGGAGTAGGTTGTGCTTGGTGAAAGCATTATGAGGGTTTATTACTCAATAAATGGTCCAGATTGTTAAAAGTAATGTAGAAAGCACCATTTCCATTTAGTCCTTTATTTCTATGCATCTTTTATATTTTTGCTATAAACGCTTCAACCTTTTGATAGCAATTATTTAGAATTCCCAATATCTGAGTTGAAGAGTAGAAATATTGAAGTCTACTTGAAAGATCATTGACAGGATTCAAATTCTCAAACTTTGAAAGTACCTATCTCTTTTGAAGCCTCAACTGCATGATTTTGATGCATTTACCACAATGCAGCATCTGACACTCAATCTTTCCAGCTTCAGAGATCAACTATTTGTGGACACTTAGAAAGAGATTCATCTCATGAGATGTAATGAACTCCAGTTCTCCACATTAACAGTAATAAGGCTGTTAATGTGGAGAACTGGAACTACCACAAGAACAAACAAAAGACAACTACAGTGTATGGGTCTCTAGTTCAGTAAATAACCAGACTCCCTATGAATGGAAACAGATTTATTCAGGAATACATTGATACAGTGCATTAGTCTGGAATATTATTACTCAGACCAGTAAGCCATTTTTCCTTCTTTCATGGTGTCTTAAAACTCCATTCTCATTCTTTATGTGTGAATCTCAAATATGATCTCTCAAAAGATAGCCTTTTGTTTTCATATCTGGAATCTTGAGTGGTGGGAAGATTGTCACAATCAAAAGGAAACAAATAAATAAACACCTTTCATGAATACATGGCTTGAAGCTAAGCCTACCTCCCACAAAAAAAAAAAGTTACTCATTTATTATTTTTATAAAATTGGAGCACTTCCTGAAATGAGAAAGTTAAAATGGATATTAAAATTCTAGTCCCCAACCCTAATGGATAAAATCTGTGCCCTATAGAACATTTTCTTCGAGACATTTTTACACATTGGGGTGGTTAATTGAATCTAGGACTGATATTTCTAGTATTTATGATCAGAATCTGCCACCTGGACCTCTCCCTTGGTGAGACTCATGAACTTTCCAGGGTGGTCATCTGTATTCCAGTTGTGATGTCTCAGTTGGAAACGTCAATAAGGTTCAAGAGGAAACTTCAAGGGTTTCTTGAACCAAAAGTTTACCTGAAACACAGCAACACAACTTTATATCAAAATAAAAATACATATTTTTTAATATTTTTTTAAATTTCATTTACTTTGGCCAAGCTCTATTCTGCACTTTAATCATACTACCTACATAAGCTACTTGGTGTAAGGAAGAAATTTTACCAGAAAGCGCTATAGCATGGTAGCACTGTCCTTCAGTTGTTCATTGATTTGCTCGAGCAGGCACCTGTAACATCTCCATTGTGAGACTTGTTGTTACTGTTTTTGGTATATTGAATATGTCATGCATAGTTTTCCAGGCTTTGCCATGCAGGTGAGATACTCTCAGTACCTTGCCGACTCTCCGAGAGGGATGGAGGAATCAGACCCAGGTTGGCCACGTGAAAGGCAAACACACTACCTGCTGCACTATCTCTCCATCCCGGAACCATATCTAATTCTGACGACTTCTGTAGGATAACATTGGTTTGTCCTTTCTCCCTTGCCACAGGAAGCTTAGGTTTATTGGGTTACACCCATCATAATGCTCCCGAGTTACTCCCATTCCTCTGCTTTTCTGTAGACTCTTCTCTATGCTCTACAGCCCAGCCAGTTAATCACCTTTTTTCTTAATCAGATTCGGTAAGATCAGATCCTTTTAGGACATTGAACTTGTATTGTAAGTTAAATATTGCTTTTCTCGTCTTCTGCATAGTTGACCTTAAAGCAATGTCCTTTCAGTACGGACACAGGAATCCAGGTAATATAATTATGCTTTGTAACTTGGGAGTTGCTTGACTCTGAATAATATTTACTCCTGGGCATCTGCTTTTTTGACTCAGTTGCCCTTAGTTCCTAGCACCCTAAAAGCAGGGTCCAATGATGGACTGAATGGACCCAGGACAAATTGTGAGCTACCCTGGCTTCGAAATGGGACAGGCCAAAGCACCACGGTACTCAACTGTAAGTTGAGAGCATGATTATGGACAAATGCTGTCATCCAAAAGCAACGATGAGAGTAGGACCCTGCCGAGCTTGGGACCAAACCTTAAGTTTATATCTTTTAGTGTGCTCATACAGAATGACACTGCTAGGAATATTAGAAATAGATTTACTACAACTATTTAAGTGGATTTCTAGCTAAGGAAGAACACACACTGTTGGGATCCCACCCTTGAGCGGATCTCCTACTAATCTGGAGTAGTCTCTTCAGATGAGATTTTATCCTTGAGTTAATCTCCTCGGAGGAGTGGTCTTACCTCTCTTTGTTGACTTGTTAATGTTCAACCCACTTTTATGTCACCACCCTACGTGATTGCTGTATAAACTAAGACTGTAAGCTCAGAGAGGGCTTGGCTCCAGAAGGCAGAGTCAGAAGTGAGAGGGCCTCAGGCTTGAGAGAGAGAAGTAGAAGGAGAGTGAAGATTGGAATAAATTACAATTGATACCAACCAGCCTGGCCCTCATTCCTTCACCTACCTTGCTGGCGGCCTCCCCGGGTTGGGAAAAACAACCCTAGACCACTGAACGTGGGCGGCAAGAGAGATAGAGTGCTGGTGGCCTTTTGAAAACACACAAACTTTCACGATCACAATCACGACCATCCTTTCGTTCGTTGATTGCCTCGAGCAGGCCCCAGTAATGTCTTCTTTGTCCTAGCCCTGAGATTTTTTAAAGAGTGCCATATTCAAGGCTCTTTCAGGGTTAGGAGAATGAGACCCATCATTGTTACTGGTATTTGGCATATTGGGTACGCCATGGGGAGTTTGCCAGACTCTGCCGTGTGGGCAGGTTACATTCGGTAGCCTGCCAGTTTTTCCAAAGTAGGAATGAGAAAATAAGATTCCGGTTCCGGGAGCTGGGTTTTATAGTCTCTGAGTCTTGACCGTTGATGGGATTACACGGTGCCGGGGGCCAGTTCGTGGGTGTGACCCCTGCCTACTGGAATTTGGAGGATCTGGGTGGAGGATGCTCAGCCCCAATCTGAGTAGGCCTGGAGATCTCAGCCCCAGGACCCACATGCCTTTGTTCCTCTGCCAGTGCCTTCACGCGTGTGGAGAGTGGTCTCAGCATGGTGGTGGCTGGTTCTGGAGGTCTTCGACTGCCGGAGCCCTGGTCGGGACGGGGAGGGAAACTCAACCCACTCCCCTTCAAGGGGCCCTGGTGAGGACACGCCAGGCGTGAGGGCAGGAGACTGCGCTGTTCTCTTCCGGGAGCTGGGTTTGTCTATCTTTAAATGTCTGCTTCCCAGGCATTATTCTATTGCAGGAAACATGGAGCATTCTTCAGACTATGTCATACTAACTGAGAAACTGTGTCTGTGGGTGTGTATTTGTGTATGCATGCATGTGTCTAAGCATAAAATAAAAATCAATATTATTATGTCTTTTAGTGGACAGCTTTGTGACAGTGTTTGTACATATGCTTGTGCAGCCATTGCCTTTATCCACCTGCAAAACGTGTTCATCATCCAAACTAAAACTCTCTTCCTATTCTTCATTGCTTCTTCCTCCTATTTTCTGGTATTCGCTGTCTCTATGAATATGACTTATTTCATAAAAGTAAAGTTCTATAATATCGTCCTTCTCTTTCTGAGTTACTTAGCTTTACAAACTGCCTAGCTGACTCATCCATAATGCACTATACATGAAATGTTCCTTATTTATTTCTACTGAATAAGTTTCAACTGTTTCTGTGTGTGACTAATGTTCGATCTGAATCTATCCATTAATGAACATTTGGTCTGCATTCACTTTCTGACCACTTTTCTTCCTTATAGAAGAAAATAAAGCGCGAGGAAGAAAGAATACATTCTGAATTTACGAATCTTCACACATTCCTGCACCAGGAGGAGGAGTTTTATATGCATAGACTAGAGAAAGAAAAAGAGCAGAAGTTGAGCAGACTGCAGGATAATATAGCCTATATGGATAACAAAATAGAGGAACTCAATAACGGCATCCTGGAACTGGATAAGAAATGTCAGTGCTCAGCACGGAATTTACTGCAGGTGAGCCTGAACTCTTGTAGTAAACAGTGGAGATGTCTTATTCCCATGCTAGTAAGAGCAGATGGTGAGAAATATGGAGAATTTACAAGGCCTACTTTCTCAGTTCAGACTCCTTTTCCTTTTAACTCACTGTGTGCAGCGTGACACCCTGTAGTTCTAGTTGAGATAAATGAACTGCTGGATTTCAATTTTCTTATATCTGAGTAGTATCTCGTTGTATGTGTACCACAATTTCTTTATCCGTTATGTGTTTTGGGGGTATTTGGGATGATTCTAGTTCTTGGTCAGTATAAATAGTGCTATAATAAACACACAAAAAGCAAATACCTTTTTTTTTTTTTTTGCTTTTTGGGTCACACCCAGCGATGCACTGGGATTATTCCTGGCTCTGCACTCAGGAATTATCCCTGGCGGTGCTCAGGGTACCATTTGGGATGCTGGGAATCGAACCTGGGTCGGCCGCGTGCAAGGCAATCACCCTACCTGCTGTGCTATCACTCCAGCCCCGCAAATACCTTTAAAAATTAATGTAGATTAATGTAGTTGTGCTCTTTGAAATGATACTCAGATCGGAAAATAGATTTTATGGGAGCTCAATTTTTAATTTTGGTGGTCTCCTGTGTTATTGTTACTCTATGTTCCCTATTCCTTTCAAGGCATCTGTGTGTTTATAGTAGATGCCATTGATTCTTTGCTTTCCTTCATTTTATATTTTCATTATCTACCATTTCCAACGAGGGTTTCTTTGCCTTTTAAATAAACCCTTTGTGGTTTTAATAAATTTAGTTAAATGGTAATGAATTGCTTTAGCGTTGGTTTTGTTTTCTTTGATGCTTTCAAGATTAAATGATGACATAAATGATAGAGTATTCTTACTGGGATGTTTGTTTCATCCAAATTGTTCCTTGTGTCAAACCATACTTTACTAGTTGACACATTTCATTTGAATCTTATGATAGTTCCTTTTATACAAGTTTCATTGTTATCTCAGTGCTTTTGAGATTCTATTTCTATGTTTGGCTTTTATCATTTTAATTACAGTATGTCTTAGAGTTCTCTTATTTGGGCTACTTTTACTTAGAACTCCTTAGATCTATTAGAACTATTAACATATTGGATCTGGTTGTGGGAGTCAGTCCTCAGAATGAGGAAGTTATCAGCTATAATTTCTTTTCTCTTTCTATTTTTTCAGGGAAGCAAGGTAGTTTTCTATTCAAACTTACTAGAAAGATATGAGAACATAGAAAGAGGTTAAATGTGTTTAAGAGAGAACACAGAAGCAAAGAATATATAGAGACAAGTGAGATATGTGTTCAAAGTGTTCAAGGGAGAACATGGTCTTGATGAGTAAGAGAAACTATAATTTCCTGAAACACTTGCTCCGCATTCGCACTTTCCTTTTTCTCAAAGACTCCTTTTTTGTTTTTTGCTGTTTGTGGGGGCGCCACAAATGGCATTCAGAGATTGCTTCTGTCTGTGTTCTCAGGGATCACTCCTGGGGTGCCAGGAATCGAACCAGTGTAGGTGGTGTGCAAGGCAAACATCCTATTTGCTGTACTATCAGCCCCCTCAAGGTCTCCTTTAATTTGGTTGCTGTTCCTATTATAATTATCCCACAATACTCTGACATCCCTTCCATAATTTTTATACTTTTTTCTTCTTCTACTTAATTGATGGTTTTCTAAGTCTTATTTTCTTATTTGACTTGCTTTTTGACATCTGTCACTTAATTTCTGAAACCTCCCAAAGAACTTTCTTTTTTTGCTTTTTGGGTCACACCTGGCAATGCTTAGGGGTTACTCCTGGCTCTGCACTCAGGAATTACTCCTGGCGATGCTCAGGGGGATCATATGGGATGCTGGGAATCGAACCTGGGTTTGCTGCATGCAAGGCAAATGCCCTACCCACTGTACTATCACTCCAGCCCCTTCCAAAGAACTTTTTTTTTTAGTGAGACATCATGAGGTACAGTTGTAGAGTTACAAATTTTTGTGCTTGGGTTTCAATTATACAATGACCAAATATCCATCCCTCCACCAGTGCCCATTTCCCACCACAACGGATTCCCTTATCTTCCTACCCCCCATCCCCCCATCCCACCCTGCCTCTGTGGCAGGGCATTCCCTTTTGTTTTCTCTCTCTCTTATTGTGTGTGGTGGTTTGCAAAAGAGGCAATGGGTGACAATCTTGTCTGGGGAACATAAAGTAATAAAATAGGAGACTAACACCCTAAAATGGCCAAGATTAGTACCAGGAATTTTACTCCATGGCTTGGAGGCCAACCACATGCTAGAAGAAAAGGGAGCTCAGATAGAGAAGGGAACAGCAAATAAAGGTGTTGGGAGGATCCTTCCAGGATGGAAGAAGCATGCTGAAAGTAGACTATAGACCAAAGAACTTTCAAGTTTACTTATTTAAGCTAAGATTCTCCCTGACTAATGCTCTCTCTTGCTTTGTTAAAAACCTTTTCTATTGCCTTCCTTCATTCATTCAACCTTATAATTTTCAATTTGAAGTTCTCAGCTCAGAAAATGAGCTTGGTTTCTTGGGAGCTTTCTAGACGATTGTCTTCACCCAGTAATTTTGATTTGCTTCTTGTTCTTTATCATGTCTCATGAGTTGTGAAAGTTAGGGATGAGGCTCTGCTTTTGTGCAGGTTAGGATAGTAAATCTAAGGCTCACGTACATCCACCGTTACCACAGGGAATCTGTGGGGCTAAGTCTATGTTGCAAACAGACACTACCAAAACTTTGCCATACTCAGCAGCACTCTCTCTTGTCTTTCACAGTTTGAGTGACTCACCATGACTCCTGGCCTCAGTCCTTGAGTTTAGGCACTTGTGCACATTGGAACCATAAATCCTACTTCCTTATTTCTTGCACCAAATGTGCTCTAGGTCTGAATCCCTGCATCAGATGCACTATGTGTGTGGGGGGAGGGGTGGGGGTGTTGGGGAGAAGAGGGTTGGGAGCTTAGGGGTGTAGTATGGTTTTTGTAGTCATTGCAGGCAGGCAACTGAGATGTCTGCAAACACATCAATCCAGAATTTTTCTGGGTGCCCCCCCATTATCCCCATACTCACTGTTCTATTGCCCTGGCCCTGACCAACAACTCAGCTTCACCCTCTTCCATCCTTGGGCCACATGTCTTGAGCTCTTTACTGTTCTGAAGTTCCTCACGTGGAAACTTGACCAGTGATAATTGCTGATTACTGCTATGCACTTCTCTGTGGGTTATATATGGAATCTTTGGTTCATTTCTGTTTTTCGTTATGTTTTACATTATGTCTGATTCACAGGGCACCTTACTCTTCAATATTGGCTACACCAATGCTTGAATATGTTTTTAGTGCCCTAGCAGATTTGGAGGTTATATCATAGTTTATGATTATAGAATGACAGTTCTTTCATCATGTGGCACCTCCTATCAACACCTAAGCATCTCAGTCACAGGGGCTCTGCATGGACTCAGGACTCAGACCTTTTTGATTAGCAGTGTCCAGTGTGGACTCATTCTAAGGAAATCACATCATTGAAAGGAAGCGGTACCCTGGGCATCCTTCTGACCACTTTCCTAATAGCCGTAGGTTGTTATGTTTTCAGACAGGAAAACTCGCCACAACCTCAGTGAGGAAATCAGCAGAGGTTGATAAACAAGTAGGCATGTGCATCCCCAAGCGACTCAGGATGGAATTATCCTATTATAAATCCATCACTGTCTATGTTAGGGGTTCATTGATGTGCCTCAACAGGAATGAATTTACCTTTGTATGTGTGAGTCCATTCCCACCCATGGGATCACTTTCCTTGCTTCCCTGGTAGGAGTGTTTATAGAGAACTGCTCTGCATACCAAGCTTCATGTAGGTGAGATATACCTTCACTCACCTTTGTTCATTGTTTCTCTACAGGGTATAAAAGACACCCTGAGCAGGTGAGTGCCCATGGAAACAGTGTGGGCAGGGGAGGGGCATGGGTATAGAGACATGGATGGAAGGAGCCACTGAAGAAACTTCTTTTTGCTGTTTATTCTAGGGTCTCAGCTATCAATCTAGAAATACCAGAGGATGTTTCTTTGGAACTGCATACTGTGTGCAATGTCTCTGAGATTCACTTAAGTGTGAGAAAAATTTTAAAACGCCATCAAGGTATGTTGATTTAAGAATTTCTTTCTATAGAAGGACTGCTCTCATTTGTGGAGTATAAAACAAAATAACATGAGGCTGACACCTAAGAATAGTAGATACATGGGACAGATAGATTGTTCCATAGCTGGAAGCCTGCCTCATGAGCAAAGGAGAGTACGCAGCTGGAATAGAGAAGGGATCACTAAGAAAAAGATGGCTGGAGGAATCTGTCGGGATGGGAGATGTGTGCAGAAAGTAGATAAAGGGACAAACAGGATAACCTCTCAGGGTCTGTGTTGCAAACCATAATGTCCAAAAATAGAGAGAGATTATGGGGAGTAATGTCTACTATGGAGGCAGGGGGAGGGTGGGAAAGGGAGGTATAGGGGAGACATTGGTGGTGGGTTATGTGCACTGGTAGATGCATGGGTGTTTGATCATTGTGTGATTGTTACCCCAACATAAAAGCTTGTAACTCTCTAACGGTGATTTGATAAAATAAAAAAAAAAGAATCCCTTGTTAACATTTTATTTAACTCTCAGTGTAATGCAATAAAAATAGGTGATTATTATAAGGGTGCAAGTGATATAAGGATCATAACCCAGTAACACATTTTACTAATCCCAAAGCTAAGCTTTCTCCTTCTATAATTCTCTTTAATCATTATTTTCTAAGTTTCTGTAATGTCTTATAAAATCCAAAAGTTTAGGAAAGAGAAAGCTTTGTTTTAAAAAACGCTATGCTCAAAAAAAATGCCATGCTCTAAAATCAAACCTAATCTAAAGAACAGAGAGAAAGTTCAATGGGCTGAGTGCATGCTTCATGTTCAGAATATCTAGGTAGTCCCAAGGCTGAAGCTCCCCTTTATGGCACCCTAGGGCCTTGTACTGATCAGCTGGTCCAGTTGGACTGGAATGACTGGGTCCCTGAACTTGTTTGGTAGTCTGTCTTCCCAAATTCTGCCTTAGCACCATGTGCACTTTCGCATGTATGATTGTTATTCAATTTTGCAGATGTTCATAATATGATTGAAAAAGTCTTCTATTTCTAAATATTTAAAATGTTTGAATTAATATCTCAATGATTTGTCTTTAAGCACCTTGTATTAGAATCAAAGAAAATAGTGTATATGGTGCAATTTATATAGTTTTTCTATATATATATTTATTTGGGTTTAAAAAAAATAAATTATGAATTGGTACCTGACTTTGCCTTTGTCTTCGCCCTGACTTTATGTTCAATGATCACTCCTGGTAGTGCTCAGTGAACCATATGTGGTACACAAAATCAAACCTGTGACAGCCCAGTTCCAGACAAGCATCTTACTCACTAATGTAACCCTCTGGCGCTATTTAATATTTTTTTTAACTTTCTTCAAATTGACACGTTGAAAGTTTCCTAATCGTTTAGGTAATAGCAACTGAAATCCAACTCATTAGTGACTCAGACTTATGATAATAACTGGTTGGAAAGAATCTTTATAATAAAGGGATTATTTTAAAGATGAGAAGTAGGGTAGAGAACAAGGAATAGTCCAGCACCCAAGGCAGGAATGGGTACACAACCATCATTGGCCTGGGCCTCAAGTGGCAGGTAGAGGGTGCTGTGAGGACGGAAGAAAGTGACAGAGTAGAGGAATGCAGAGCCTGCCAGTCAGCATGGGAGGATCATGAGTACTTCACACTGCTGCTCAGTTGCTTAGTGCCCCAGGGCCTTCTCCTCAGCTTCCAATTAGTTGAAATAAGCAGAGCACTGTAGCACTCTCCCTTTGTTGTTCATAAATTTGCTCAAGATGGGCACCAGTAACGTCTCCATTGTTAGACTTCTTGTTACTGTTTTTTTTTTCAATTTTTTTTAATTAGTGAAACTCCATGATGTACAGTTTTAGACTTATGAACTTTTGTGCTTGGGTTTCAGTTATACAATGATCGAGTACCTATCTCTCTACTAGTGCCCATTCTCCACCACCAAATAACCTAGCCCCCCAACCCATCTCCCCCACCCTGCCCCACTTCTATGGCAGGGAATTCCCTTTGGCTCTCTCTTATCCTTAGGATGTTGTGGTTTGCAAAAGAGGCATTGACTGGTCATTGTGTTTAGTCTATAGTCTACATTCAGCACACATCTCACATCTAAGGGGATTTCTCCAAACACCCTTTACTTGGTGTTCCCTTCTCTATCTGAGCTGCCTTTCCCCCAAACATCTGCACCCAGCTTCCAAGCCGTAGAGCAGACCTCCTGGTACTTTTCTCAACTATTCTTGGGTGTTCGTGTCCCATTCTGTTACTTCTGTTACTTTATATTCCCCAGGTTAGTGCAGACTTTCTTTGTCTGTTCCTTTCTTTTTGACTCATTTCACTTAGCATGATACTTTCCATGTAGAACCACTTATATACAAATTTCATGACTTCATCTTTTCTAACAGCTGCATAGTATTCCATTGTGTAGATGTACCAAAGTTTTTTTAACCAGGCATCTGTTCTCAGGCACTTGGGTTTTGTCCAGATTTTGGCTATTGTGAACAGTGCAGTAATAAACATACAAGTGCAGATGTCATTTCCACTGTACTTTTTTGACTCTCTGGGATATATTCCCAGGAGTGGTATTGCTGGGTCAAATGGGAGCTCAATTTCTAATATTTTGAGAATCGTCCATACTATTTTCCAAAGGGCTGAACCAGTCGGCATTCCCACCAGCAGTGAAGGAGAGTCCCTCTCTCGCCACATCCACGCCAATGTTTGCTTTTGTTTTTTTGGATGTGGGCAAGTCTCTGTGGTGTGAGATGATATCTCATTGTTGTTTTGATCCGCATCTCTCTGATGATGTTACTGTTTTTGGCATATGAATATGCCACAGGGAGCTTTCAAGGTCTGCAGTGTGGGAAGGATACTCTCGGTAGCTTTCTGAGCTCTCTGATAGGGACGGAGGAATCTAACCCAGGATGGCCCTGTGCAAGGCAAATGTCAACTCACTGTACTATCACCCCAACACACTAAAAAATCCTATTCTCCCACTCACTTTCTAGAGTTGGGGTGAACCAAACTCTATTCTTACCTTTAGTTGGTAGTTCATGCTCTCTCCAGGGTTTCCAGCTGTATAATATCTCCAGGGGACGGCCAGGGAGAGGCTCCAACGGCTCTTCCCCTAGCCGCCAGTATTCGGGGTGGGTCCAGGTCACTCGTCCAGCTGGGGCAGACCGAGTCATGGGGCAGACAGAAAGAGGAAACAAGGGTCAAATCAGTTGATTGGCCAGGTCCATCTCGATGCCAGGGTAGCACATAGCTTACTCCTTGCCCTGGTTCCATCCAGTCCCTCGAACTAACTAGAGAGAGATAGGAAAGAGAGCCCAGGTGATGTGTTCACAGCGGTCCATCGTTCAGGGAGAGAGCCAAGTGGGAAAAGTGGGTAAAGACAAGCAGGGATTTGAGGAACACTGAGAACATCCAGTACAGGAAGTATTTCCACAGAGCGGATTTAAGTTACCTGGAAAAAAATCCAACTCCTTGTGCTTAACTTGGTAACACAGTGAGTGGTTGATTTTTTTTTTTGAGTGGTTACAAGAGTAATTAACGTTCTAGTGCTCAGAGCCATAATACAGCTGGTTTGATGTTTGTATTGTACCCAGTCCTAAGTTCGATCACCAGGTCCCCTAAGTACAATCAGAAGTAAGTGCTGAGTTAGAGCCAGGAGTCACTCCTGAACATTGCCAGGTGTGGCCCCCAAAAAACATAAAACAAAATATTCTATTGATACATTTAACATTAAAGTTTTGATTTTACAGTCAAAGTCACACTTAAGTTTATCACATATTTTCCTATTTTTGTCAAGGATGATCATGTAGCTTTCATGTATACTGACCCTAGGTTTATTAAATTTCGATAATTTCTATAGAATACTGTTATCTAACATAAGAGATTAGAGTAAGCTCTAATATCCATGGAACTAATAAATATGTTTGTGACCTGGGGAAAGTCTAGGTCTCTAATCGCAATCTATGATATTAGTTGTCTTTTTTAAATTTTCTGAAACAGAATTTGTAGTTGCTAGTTTGAGATGGAATAGTCTTATTTCTGTTTCAATATTCCATGATTTCTCAAGAAGAAAATGGGTCTTGGAAATGACAGAACCCATGTAAATTCTGATTGGTTCTTTTCTTAGGTTTTATAAGCTAAAGATAAGGATGATGGTTATGCTATTACTAGGAATTCTCAGGTACTTCCCATTAATGAGACATTTTCAATAAAAATTATTATTTAGTTCACTGTCTTCCCCAACAGTCTCTAGTGACACACATAGAGATTACACGGATTTTGCAAACTGAAACTCAAAATGACTTTTAGATAATAAGAACAGACCTTTGGTTTGAATATAGGCTAGCTTTATTTTATAAAATATTCTAAATAGTAACACAGGTTAGGAAGAACACTGACAGTGGTGGTGGGTTTGGAGTTAAGCATTGAATGCCCAAAGCTGTTATCCTTGGCTCAATAAATTGCAATGAATAAATAAAAAAAGGTTTTTTCCTTTGAAAAATAAACCTGGGGGTCAGAGCGGGTAGGCTATTTGCCTTGCACACAGCCAACCCAGTTTCGATCTCAGGAATCTCACCGGGTTTGCCGAGCACAGCCAGGAGTCTTTTGTGAGCGCAGAGCCAGGAGTAACCCCTGAGCATCATAGGTTGTGATCCAAAAAGAAAAAAAAAAGAAGAAAAAGCAAGTCTGGTGGAGCAGAGATGGAGATAGAGTACCCATAATTTGGTCCTGCCAGCCCACCTGGAGTAATCTCTAATGCAGACCAGGACTAAGCCCTGAGTATCATTGAACATGGCTTCCAAATAAAAAAAAAATACAAAGCAAGTTTTTTGTAGCTCAAACATAATACAATGATAGAGTGCTTGCCTGGCACACCACGGAGTTCCAAGCATCCCAAATAGTACACTGCCAGCAATGACTCCTAAGCACAGTAGTAAGCCCTGGCACTGCCTGGTGAGGCCTTGCTTCAAAAAAAAAAAAAAAGGAAATTAAAAATCCAAATCAAGTTTTTTGTCTTTTTTCTCTTTTTCCAGTCAATGTGTCTCCTGATCCAGATACCAGTAATCAAAAGTTATTGATTCGATTAAATGAAGAGAAAACTACAATTTACCCACGAAACTTAGTGGAATCTCAAACTTCTAAAAGATGGAATGACATAATCTGCATGCTGGGCCATGAGCGTTTCACCTCAGGAAGACATTACTTTGAAGTGGAGATGGGAGCAGGAGCAGAGGGGGCTGTAGGAGTTTGTCTGGAAAATGTGCCAAGGGACATTGACATAGCACGAAAACCTCAGTCTGGATTCTGGGCCATCAGACAGAGAAAGAGCAAGGGTTGTTCGGCCCTTACTTCTCCCCCAACCTTCATTCCTCTGAGGAATCAGCCTGAAGTTATAGGGATTTTTCTAGACTGTGACGCTGGGATCATATCCTTCTACAATGCTACTCTTGGTTCCCACATCTACACTTTCCCAAAGGCCTCCTTTTCTCATGCTCTCAGACCTTATTTTGAGGCTTATCCATATTTTTCTTTGCTCTGGACTTCCTGAAGTGATCTAGAAAAAGAAAGTCTCCTCCTAGTTAAACCAGCATGGGAAGTTCTTGGTGAATCCAAGAAATTGGATCTTCTTTATTCCCGGCTATTTATCTGTATCTAGAATGGTATCTCTAACATTTGTAATGCATAAAAACTGTGTTCAAGTAATGTACATTCAGGCAGTAACACAAAAGATAATGAGTGTGTACTATAGTGAAATAAAGCAAGATATAGTTATCGCAGTGCATGTTTTGCATAGCGTGTCTCCTCTCCTTCCCTCTCCGTGTTTTCAGATCTTAAGTTCCAAGACAACCCGACAGGCCAGTGAGCAGGATGACAAGAGCTCAGGAGGTTCGGGTTCTCTATGCTTGTTTGGTACCCTATGAACTCAGTGGGAGGGAATAAGGAAAGCTGCAATTATATCAGCAAAAGCATGAGAAGGGTAGAGACTCCTGTGACCATTGGCATGCTGGTGAATAATCTGAACTGCAGCCCTGAATGACAGAGTAAGTGCAGACAGTGACCAACCTAGAGGGTCCTGCCCAGTGAAATGTGAGGGAAACCTCACAACTGACTTCGAGTGAGATGCTTCACATAGAGACAAGATCCAGAGGAAAACTGGGTTTTGACAGTGCTTCAATAATAAAAATAGTACAAAGTTGATATTTGCACACTGAACTAGCAGAACCAATCCTGAAATAATTTTCCATTTCCATGATAGTTCTTGTTGTCAAGATTGTTGAAAGTTTTTATTAGGAAGCATACACCAGAGAAATAGGTCTGAACCTTTTGTTTTCAAAAGAGTTTTGTTTTCAGCTATTTTAAAAACCAAATAGGTATGTTTTCAAAAACACCTTCTGTAAGGTTTTCTCTGACCAAATGACACCACTCAGGACCAAATAGTGATCAGCTGATGAGATGCAACATTCCAGGAGTCACGTATCTCTCTGTCCCAGTATGGAAGGTAGGACTGAAGTCTTATTTGCCACGCAGAGGTTCAGGAGCTTTGGAGGTGTCCTCCTCAGAAGATGGAGGAGGGGATTGGGCCTCAGTTTAACTTTTCATTCAAAAGTTTAATTATTTCTTTGTTTAGATTTCCAGATAAGAGTATGCCTGAAGAGAACAATTCATGAGGGCTTCATTTTGTAACATATTTTTTCTAAAAAGTTCTTGTTCAAGTTCTCTTTTAAAACCTTCTTTACTATCACTTTAGTCCAAAGACCCAGGTTTGATATTCATACTCCATATAATCTCCAGAGCCCACCAGGTGGGATCCCTAGGTATAGGACCAGATGATAAAGAACTCACAAAGCTCAACTACAACAACAACAAATGATACCTATCAAAATAGGGAAGAAAATTAATAGACATTGGCCTCAAGACAACATATAGCAAATGAGCACACTTAGAAAAAATGTGTTCTTTGTCACATTGTATCAAAATGTAAATCAAAACAATAATAAAATATCGTCTCCCACTACTGAGAATGTCACATATCAAAAAAGACTGGAGGGAGGATGTTGCTGACAGACTGTAGTGACAGAAAATCCGCATTTACTGTCCTTGAGAGTGTTCTCAGGCTCAGGCATTAGGGAAACACCACAAAGACTTCTCCCCCACCCCCAATCTAAGAACAAAGGCCTAAGGAAGAGGATTCAAGGGTTAAGGCTGTGGGATCTGATGTGGCTGATGCCAATTCACAGTCTGGCTCTAGAGCACCAAAAGAATCATCCCAGAGTACTTCGGGGAGTGCCCTCCACTGTAGCTGAGCCACTACGGGCTCCACAGCACACCCACAGCCTTTCCTCACAGCACAGATTGGTGGCTCCCAGCTGACAACACTCCTTCTGGCCATTAGTGGTTCCCATGCTGTCCTGAGCTCTGAGTCCTGCAGAGGGACAGTGAGGAGGAAGGAGACAGAGCAGAGACAGGGAGAGGGAACTGGAATGGGCCTGTGCCTGATGCCCAGAGCCCTGTCCTAGCCACATCTGCTTCCCCACATCCTCCTGGACTGCTTCAACAATCAGGGACCAAGAAGAGCAAAGACAAGCTGACCAGGAAGACTCCTGGATTCCCCTGGGACTTTCTGGCAAAAGTACAGAGATCTGAAGTCAGAGTCTGGGAGCTGAGCTGTGATTCCTGCTTGGACTCGGAATGAGGACACAGAACAGTTTCCCATTTATGACTTGTCCTCCCTTTTACTGCTCAAGAGGGACTTCGTGTACCTGTTCCTTTTCTTGAGGGCAAGCTCAGTAGGAAACACACTGGCAACCTCTCTCATTTCCAGCTCCAACCCCACATGGCTTCACCCCTCACAGTGGTTTCGTTTCTAGGTTTGAACTTCCTTTTCTTCAGTGGGAGTGAACTTCCTTGCCAGGCTGAATGAATCACAGATACAGAGGAAACATCAGGGAAGAAGCTTGTGCTGTCTGCTGTGTGGAGAAGGTACTGACTGTCCAGGCCAGATTCTGCTCTGTGAGTGTAACTGTGTGAGTGTGAGCGTGTGTGTGTGTGTGTGTGTGTGTGTGTGTGTGTGTGTGTGTGTGTGACATCTGGGTATGGTCTAGACTTTGCTTTCTTGTTCTTTTTTCACCTTTTGCTTTCACTTTCCAGAGACTTAATGTCTCTTCTCAGTATCTCAGGAATGGGAGGCCAGTGAAGGCCCCATAGTCTCCTCTCAGGACTCAGAGATAGAGGCTTTTCCCAAGACCACAGCTCCCCTCAGAAGAAGTAACTGGCCTTTGATGAAAGTTTCTACCCGAGACTCTCCTCTCTCTAAGGGAAGAGCCTTATGATTACAGAGAAAGTGCCTTTCTAGTATCATTTGTTGTTATGCTTTATACTTCCAAGGACAACTGCAGTCGTGGAGGCAAGACATAATCCAGCTCCTGACCTTACTGCCCTGTGAGGTCCTCCCTTGTGTACCCTAGGGGATCAGCAGCCAATGTCTCACAGAGCTTGCCTTCCCCATTAATTTACTACTTACTACCTCTTGGGCTTGGCAACCACATCCTGGTTTCCGGTCACCCTGAGCATTTGGAGAAGGCAGAGCCACCTCCTGATTCTCCACGACCTCTGCTCTAATGACCAACCCCTCAGTCCACAGCTCTTTGAATTCTCGTTTCCTCAGATTCTTCACAAAGACACCATGTCCCACTGGTTGCCTGCTTACTGGCTCATCCTGGGAGAGCTCAGATGACTATTTCTATCATTTACATAAAGAATATCAAAAGAACTTGACTCTTCCAACCACTGGCAGTTGGTTACTAATCTGAGCTGCAGCCCTGGTGAGAGAGTACATGTAGACAGAGACCAACCTGGTAAGTACTGCCCCAGGACTATCCAGAGAAGGGGGAAGGAAGAGTCACAATTGATTTACTGTGAGTGTCTTCAAGTGGCGAGATCAAGATAAAACAATTTGATATTTCACTTCAGTACTGAAAAAAGTTGTTATATCCACATTGTGCTATCAACGCCTATCATGAAACAATTTTAGATCTTCATAATAGCTTTTGTTAATAGGATTTTTGACAGATTTTATTGGAATTCACATATCAAACACATGTGGGCATATTTTGAAAAGTAATTTCCATTGGCAATATTTCTTCCTCTTGTTTGATTGGGCTGATGTCAGGACCTGATTAAATGAGTGAAAGAGGAGCAACACTATAACTAGAAAATGCCACAAAGTCCTCCCAATAGCCAAAACAATACTAGGAAAGAAATTAGGGGAGTGAGTCACTTTCTCCAATTTCATACTGCTCTTTAAAATTGCAGTGAATAAAAGAGTGTGCTGCTGGAATAAGGACAGACTCTCAGATCACTTTAATAGAATTAAGAATCCAGAGAGAGATCCTCAGGCGTCTGGAATGATTAATTAATATTCAATAAAGAAACAAAAAATATGAAGTAGGGCGTTGAGTCTCTTCAACAAAGGGTGATGGAAAAGCTAGTCAGACACAGCTAAAAGGAAAATAAAGATTCCTAACACCAGGCACAAAAGTCAAACCAAAATGGATTGTAAACCTCTTTATCAGACCAATATTCATAAGTTATATTGAGGAAAATCGGCAAAAAGGTTATGACTTTGAAGCTAGACTTAACGTTAAGGGGCTGGAGCAATAGCATAGCGGGTAGAGTGTTTGCCTTGCACACTGCCAACCCGGATTCTGTTCCTCCATCCTTCTCGGAGAACCTGAGAGGCTACGAGAGTTTCTGGCTGGTAGAAGCCTGGGAAGCTCCTTGTGGAATATTCTATATGCCAAAATCAGTAACAACGAGTCTCACAATGGAGATGTTACTGGTACCTGCTCAAGCAAATCAATGAACAGCGGGACAACAGTGATACAGTGCATTCTAAGCCTCATAGACCCCATTATAACGATAGAGTAGAAAAAGAGGTTCTGGAAGGAAATTACAACTGAATTAGCAGCTCCCCGTTCAGTAGACCTTATGTGGCTTACCATCATGGAGACAGAGATGATAAGACTCCCATTGCTTCAGTGCGATGGAAGGGTGGGAGCTGCAGCTGTCTTGGTCAAGAGCAAGGTGGAGCAGTCTCGACAGCCCCCTTTGAGGTTTGTATGGTCCTTGGTCCAGTCGCCCACGTTTTCACACTTCCTACACGGAATCCAAAACTTCTATGGTCATTCAGGACAGTTCTCACTTCCAGTAACCACGTTTGCCACAATGGAAGCCAAAAGTTTTTTGAGTGAGGGACTTCTGGCCAGGCTTAAGAGAGGTCTAGAGCTGGTGGTACCTTTTATCTTCCTTTGTCTTCTTTACTTTGAGCTTTAACCTCTCTTGTGACCCTTATCTCTCCTCTCCCCTCCTTCTGGTATTTATAACTAGAGAAAATTGCCCTATTTAATTCTCAGTCAATAAGTGTTCCTTCTGATCATTCTGGTATTTTTTAATTTTTATTCATTATTGCTGTGAGAGGCAAGAACTCCATACACTATCATCATAGTGAAAGGTGAAGATATTTGTACATAAGGTATCTCTGCCTCTTCCTTAGATCATTTACAAAAGAAATAGAGTTATTGGGTGGCAATATAGTTAAAAGGGAACTCCCCTTTTCCAAATCTCCTCATTCTCCAAATTATTTTTGAGCTAAGCCTTCACGACGACCATCCTGTTGTTCGTCGATTGCCTCAAGCAGGCCCCAGTAACGTCTCCTTCATCCTAGCCCTGAGATTTTTTTAAAAAGTGCCATATTCAAG